GGTGGTTTCAATCTTTGATAAATAGAACAATACTTGAGAAAAGCCAATGAATATATAACTAAAAGGAACTAAATAATGAATTCTCAACTGAATATCGCTGGCTCTCTTAAAGTGATTGTTCCCCAAATATAATTAGTACAAATTGGGGCAACTCTGTGAAGCGTAATGGAAAGCTTAGTTGATCTAGCTAGGTGTCTCCTTCAAGCATTATATTTGGCTTTGTTCTAATCCTCATTTGTGTCCCCTTTTAGTTCTACTTTCCACCAAAATAATAAAAGGTTTTCACTTTTTTAAAAATAAATGGTAGTTACAAGCGAATTAATCTGATAATGCCCAAATGCAGCTTCTTTGAGGTGAACCTCCGAACAAGATTCTATCTACATTGCAAGCCAACCTTTTTTTTAGTTTTCTATAATGGTTAACTGAGATGTCTCGTGTTATATAGATTACAAGAGAGAGGAATGTGTATACGGTGATTGAAGTTCTAACCAGAGTAGAACTCCCGGATGTGAAATCTCCGCATGATTACACCATGGTAATTCAACCTTTTTTTTTATCAACCCAAACATCACTCACCATTCTGAAGACTTACATACGATGGCTCTTCATAGAGAAAATTTTCTTTACAGAATAATAATTAGAACAACCGCTAAATTTCATTTATCAAGAGTTAGGTTCATTTCTTTCTTCAAGCAAGTTTTGCTTTAGTTCATTAGTAAAAGACAGCAGATTTAAAACCTGTCCCCGAAGAGAATCCCTGAAGGATGGAGAACCATTTTTATATGAGGCCAAAGACCAGCCGACCTCCCATCTCTGATGTAATGAATCCAAAGAAGCATCCATGACTGGTTTAAGAGCAGAGGCAGCTGTAGGTATATCATACTGCAAACATGGTATCTAAATAACATGAAAACAATTGCATGCCAGATAAATAAACTCAAAAACATGATAAAAGATAGAAAAAAAAAAGTGCACTTGCTTGTTATCGGAAGCAGAGTAGCTGAGTAAACATGACATTGTTGGAAAGGACCCGTAATCCTAAATTTATGTAATGTTGGTTTATACGGCAATGGGATCAGCAAACTTGTAGTTCAAAATAAAACGCACATAAGAAAAACTATAGGCTAAATTTTATCCACGATTACAGAAATTTACCCTGCGATCTAAGCATCGCCCTCGAAAAAGAGAAGTCGAATTTGGATTTCATGAAACTGTTAGAACCCCAACTAATTAATAAAAAAATAAGAATGCCTACCAAAGCCAACAAGTGGGCAGCATGCCAATGTGGAGTTTTACTAACATCAGAATCTCTCTCCATCAATGAGTTACCCTGTGCAGCAATGATTAATAATGTGTGATTTTAAATGCCAAATTAACCATTCAAGAAGAGCTGTGAACTTATCAAATATACAATTACAACCTTATAAATTATACCTCAACCATAATATCAATCTGAACACCAGGAATTAGCTCAGGCTTTCCCTGCAGCTCATATATTGGATAATCAAATATATTAACCCAGGTAATGACATATATGACAAGGGGAAACGATAATTTATAACTAAAACAAAACCAGAACATACATTTCCCCCCCTCTACAGTATTGTAAACGAAGTTAACCTTGTGAATAGTATTTCTGTGTTGAAGTGGCATAAAAGGCTCAAAAATGGAGGAAACAGTCAGAACCAACGTTGCAAATTGATCCTTATAATTACCAAGATGCTTAGCGACCCTGGTATCATACAGGGTTTCAGGTAATATCATTCCAGATGCTGAAAGAGTTGTCCTCCCAGAACTTTACATGCCAAAAAAGATAGAGGGAATCAATAAATCTTTTTCCAAGTTAAAAATATACAACCCTTAAATAAATCTATCAGATAAGAAGGTTCTCACTGATACTGATGGAATGCATGTTTTTGCATCTTCAGGCCCTTCGGGTCCTAAATCATAAGGCTCGCACTGATTTTTCACCATCTCAACGGAAATTGCAAGCACGGGAACATGGAAAAGGGGCAAGAAAGATAAGGACTCACAGGGCCTTGGACTCTGACCATGACGGCAAAATTTCTGGCATGATCCACAACTTCCCGCGTAGCCATGACAGGAGGACAGGCTGGTTTGGAGGAATAGTACAAATACAAATAAGTTCAATTGCACAAACGATTATGCACAGTTTCCACCATTCCCATGAAAATAAGCTTAGAATTCAAAGGACAGCTAATAAAATGAATCTGCTATTCGCTTCATGTAGAAACTTGCAATTTATAAAATCACATAAGCTAAGCCAGGCATCTACATTATAACACTTATTCCAATTAAACAAAAGGATTCACAACACTCCTGTTGAATTCACTGATCTGGATTTTCTGGTCTTAATTTTGCATTAAGAAAGGATACTGATTTCTATATCTACAACTCACTCGTTTCTCCCACACCCTACGAAGCTCCTCAAGGCACTAGCATATCATCAGAGGCTTTCCAACCAATACGCATAGGATTGTACAATTTAAAAGAAAATGCAAATAGATCATTTACACATAGGATTATAATCTTTATTTTTGTCATAAAAATACATATTCACATCAAATACTAAATTAATTTTCTTGGTTGTTTGAAATCTTAATAAAATTATTAATCTCTTTATTTTTCTGGACATAAATGAAAATTATTTAATTTTCAATGAAATTTCTATTCACCGTTTTCTAAAACCTCAACTTCTGTTAAATATCAATTACATTCTTACTTTTCATTATTTTCGTAAATATAAGAATATTTCTAATAACTAAATTAAAATGGGAGTAAAAAGATAAAAAATTACATTGTTTACTATACAACCGAAGTATGGATAACAATCAAAATCAAAAGTTTTTCCTCCAAGCCAATATCGTTAAAAAAGTGACCAAGAAAACATCTTTAGAAATTATGTTCGATACTTATCTACGTTAGGTATTACATTCTGTGACTCATTTTCTAGTTTTTTTCCGTCTTAGTTTGAGCTTTGATATTAATCACTTCGTTTATAATTGTATGAATTACAACCTGAGTACTTGATTACTTCTTAATGAGAAATCAAATTGGGGAAAAGTCGAAAATCATAACCTCTCAAAATAACTTCAACGATTAATCTGAATTGTACGTCAAAATACATTGGAGAAATTACTGTTACACCAAGAATTAATGAATAATTGTTAACCCAGGGAAGGCGCAACTAATCAAAACTATCTTCCATATTCATCTGGTTCAAGATTATCCACCGAACGCCCTTATCTATTATAATCGCATAAAATTGACCATATTCGATGCTAATTTCCGAGAAATTAACATCAGTTTCAGATGCCTTGCACGGAAGGAGATAAGGAAATGAAAGAAAGAAGAAGAAGAGGAATGAAATGAAATGAAGAAAGAAAGGAAGGAATGAAGCTAGCTTCGTTATTAATCTAAACATAGCTACAAAAAGATTAAAGAGAAATAAATTATAAAAAAAAAAAAAAAGAGAGAGAGAGAAAGAAATGAAGCAAACTTCATTATTAATTCAAGCATAGTTACAGAAGATTAAAGAAAAATCGGGCCGAATGAATTACCTGTGAGGTACAGTGAAGAATCGAGATGAAGAAGACGGTGTTGAGGTCCTTGAGGATAGCAGCCGTCGGTAGAAGCAATCAGGCAGTAGACCTTCTTGGGGGGCGCGCGGGCGAGGAGTGCGCGAAACGAGGCCGCGAACGGGGGAATGTGAGTCTACGTCTTTATATATATGGGTGTGTGTGAGTTGTGACTCTGGGCCTGGGGGTAAAGATATTCGACAGTATTATCTTACTAAAATAAAATAATAATTATAAAAACTAAATATTGCTTAATATTAAATGGTAATTACATTTAGAATTGGTTAATATTAGGTAAAAATTGCTTTTTCGTTGGCTATAAATAGGAAACAAAGCGGGAGGCGAGAGAGCATTCCTCTGGTTCTGAAGAAACCCAAGCGGATCACCAAGTTGCATTTTTGCGCCTCTCTGAATCAGTCTTTTACAAGCAAAATCCCTTGAATATGGTTTCCAACATGATACCTGAAGAGGTCGAGCAGAACGAAGACATTGTTCTTCGGTTAAACAAATTGGTCATGGAGGATTCAGATCCAGAATTCAAGAAAGAACAAGATGATCGAAGCCTTGCAAGCGAAGAAACCGATGGCGGATTCAAGCCTAAAATTCAAGAAGAAAATGCGGAGGATCTCGATAACGATGCATCACTTTCTCGAAACGGTATCAAGAAAAATCCGATCAATGATGACGAGGAAGAATCGAATCGTTCAAGTCTTGCAGACCTCCAAGTTCTTCTTCCAACCAAAGAAAAAGAAAAGAAAGGGGAAAACAAAGAAGAATCTGTAGCGGAATCTCACGAGATGAAAATAGCGACAAAGAAACTTGAAGAAGAATCGTTTGATCCGTTTGATTCAAGTTTGGACACTCTGGAAGCACTGGAGAAAATCGTGTTGGAATACTACGAGTTCCTCAACTACGCATTACGGATTTTGAAGAAAGGGATTAGCGTGAATCAGAATACAGACAGCCAATAATATAGGTATTTACCGGGAAAATTAATTCATCGGGAAATTGAAAATGGAAGATAAAAGAAAGAATCTGAGAAATTTAGAAATTTAAGCTGTTCTGTTCCTCTGCTTACTGATGGATTTGAGGTTGATTTTAGATTTTAGTTTCAGATTTTTTCTTTTGTATAAATAAATCAAAGTTCTTCCAATCTGTCACGATGAACTAGATTCTTCTTCCAACAGCATATGATTTTTTTTAATTTAATGTTCTTGAAAGTAATGGTAAGTAAACTTGACATGAAACAAACAAATAAAAACTAAAATTTGGGGTTTTCCTATAATTTGATGTTCTTCACTGTCCATGATTACTTTCAAATTTATCAACGGCATTTGTTCTATAAACAGTAATCTTTAAATCTCTCCGAGGAAAAAATAAAAAACACTATCCGCATTAAAACTAAGCCCATTTTGCCATCAAAGACATGCCTCCAGCGCCCAGAAAAACCGCAACGTAAGCCCATATATGAAGCGTGAGATTGGCTTGCAACTTGGGCCCCATGAAATCAAACGCCAACAAATCAACCAATGCCATATAATTCAGCAACCCAGCAGATGAAGCATTCAAAATCCCCACAACTATAAGAGCCGTGGGACTATTATCACTATACACATTCGACAATCCAATCCCCAATGCTATTCCAAATGGCGTCGTGATCGAGAAGAACAACACCATGATTGCTTTCATCTTGAACCCGTATTCCGCTTGCAGAATGCACCCTCCAAGCCCCATCCCTTCAAACAGCTGATGGAAGCAGAGAGCAGCGATGAGCGGCCTTATGGTGCACGGATTTTCCGAAGCCCCCATTGAAAGCCCTATCACCACCGAATGCACAACGATCCCTGCTTCTAATAATTGCGCAATAACGCGGTGTCGTACCAATTTCGCACCAAGTTTTTTATTGGTTCCTTCTTCTCTCCCCAAGTTGTCATCGATTTCCATGCCCTCGTTCTGTTCTTCTTCTGCAACTTGAGCCTCCATCAACTCTTTCTTGTATCGACTCATCGAAAACGAGTCCAACATTAAAGTCATCACAGCCGAAATCATGGCTATGAATGTGGTGAAAGGGAATTTCCGCCATGGGTTCTCCGGCAAACAAGGGGATGTCAAGCAATTGAACGAATCGGGCAAAACGTGCATATACCCAGTGGCTAAAATCACGCCGGAGGCAAATGCCTTAACGATTGCGAAGGGGCTTCCCTCTGGTTGAAGCAGCGGTACCGCGCGGGAGAACAGGGGAAGACAAACGCCGATCATGCTCGCAACTAAAATGTTTGCGATGGCGATGAGTTTGAGTTTGAGGGACTTGGGTCTGTCATGGCAGCCTTGTTGGAGCTGAGTTTGGCATTGGGAATTAGGAGTTGGAATTGACTCCGAACACGATGGAGTCCAGAAGGAGACGAGAAGCAGAAGCACTATGAGTGCATGGAGTCTGAGATTACGAGCCATGGCGCAAAAACTAATCGAAGAAGTGGGAGTTATTAGCTGATTTCTGTCGAGATTTAAGGGATTCAAACTGCTCTGTGAAATGGCAGTAATAACCTCCATGAAATGAAGGGTATTTGTTAAAGCTGACGTGGAACGGTAAAAAGTGAGGTAGGCGTGTGGCAGTTGTGACGTACACACACTATGACTCGACCTTTCGAGTAGATTTACTATCTAAAGCTGACGTGTCATTGAGTATCGACTTTTACCGTGTGTTCCAATGCCACATAGATAATTGCTCTCTCTAATTGGCGTTTTTTATTTAATATTTTGAATATAGTTTATGTTTAAATCCTATTTTAATTAAAAAAATTAATTTAATTTAATCATATCAATAAAATATTAATGATTATATAGTATAATCATATATTTATAAGTTTTTGTGAAATCTTTCAGTGATAACACAAATATCTATGCTAAAAAGTCAGAAGATACCATTCCAAACTCCTATGTAGAAGACATGGATGAGGTCATCTTTCACTTTCAGCCACGATTTAAACAACAAAATATGACGTCGATGCCATCTTATCTGAACAAACTACCGTCAACAAATTAATGTTTTTAAACGGAACTTACAAAACGATTAAATCGCACTCATGTCAGCATTAACTAACATTATCACCCAACTTCAATAAACTCAACAAATCTCAACGGAACCTTCTTTATATTCAATATAAAAATGTTATCCCAACTCACCATCCATAAAATATCTCCCCTATCATGAATCCCGACCCTATTCAAACTTGAGAATTTAGGTGACCGGTACCTATACCTCTTGACCTAGATATACAAAATATATATATATATATATATATATATATATTTATTGTATCAAGAACCATTAGTAGTAAAAAAAAAAAAAAATCTATCTAATATAATTATATATACCTTAAAAAAAAGGTTTGAATATTTATTTATTTATTTTTGTACATCCTGACCAAGTTTACCAGTAGAGATGTATGGATGTGGTGGGAATACTACGCATTTCTCGTCTTTATTATGAAATTTTCCATTTATTTATGTGGAGATAGATTGTGACCTGGATTCCCAACGAAAAATTTGTGGGACCCGTGGATAATTTTTACCCATCTATTATTTTTATCAGCATATTACTTATTTTAAAGTTTTGAATTTTTTAAGATAATATTTGTTAAAGAAAAAACATAAATTGGACATGGGAGTATAATTTGGTAAAAGGGAGCGGCAAAGAGAATGTAGAAGCAGACAAATGAAAGGGGGAAAAAAGGTAAAAAAAATGAGTTTATGAAGTTTATAAGGAAAAATAGGAACAAATGGGTGTATGCGGATTTACTAAAATACCCTGGAGTAGCTCGATTGTGGTGGATGCAAATTCGTATATATGTGGACTTGATGAAGGACCGTTCCAAATTTGTTTGGTGTGCCTTTTCTTTTATCAATCTGATGCCGTGGAAATTTGGTTTGTTGAAAGAAAAACCACGAACACGAGGCTCCCTCCCCCCTTTGGCTCTGCCATTTTGCTACACCGCCCCCTTCATCATCTCTACCAACGTCAATTTTGGTGAACTTGCAACTTCTTTTCGTCGTTTCTTCAACTTATTTTGCTTCAACCCAAAACAATGCCGGCTCGGAAGCGCGTTTACGAGACTGTTCATGCTGATCTTTTGCCGCGACTCCATGATACCTTCAATGATCGCTCTGAGGATGGAGAATCTGAAGGTACGCTTCTTTTTCTGCTTAGCACCCTAAATTTTCATGATGCAACCCAATCTTTTATGTTCCTGCATTCCATATATGTTATTATTTGTTTGTTTAATTCTTTTTTTGTGCGTATACTGAGTTCCTGGTGTTCTATGTTGCTTCTTCTTTCTACAGAATCCGATCGAAGCTCTTCATCCAGTCAAGAAGATAAGGACGAGTATGTTCCGTTTATTATGAGCTCTGTTTTTGGTTTGCTTCTTTTTGTTCGTCATCTTCTTCGCGCTGTTCCTTTTTACTCTATTTTCTCTTTTGACTTATTTCATCTGGTTGGTTATGGAGTTCTTTGGTGCTTAACTGCCTGGGATTGTTTTGGGATCTGCATGGTCTGCTTCGTGGTATTGTTCAGTAAGTTCTTGCTACGACCGTCTTCGAAGACCAGCTGTGTAGTCTTCACGTCTGAGGCTTTCGTCGGTTTTTATCCTGCAACGGAGTTTTCTTTATTTTTAGTTTTAGTTTCTTTTCCGATTAAGGTTAGTGGAATTGGGTGCTGGATCTTGTTGGCTAAGTAGGTTCTTGAGGTCGTATATGCGATCAATCTGTTTTTACATATGCTACGAGTTGCTGGGTGGGTAATGACGTTGGAGCTCACATGGTTTTAGCTTCTCTACCATGTTAAAGCTCACATGATCCGAGATCAAGCATTCACTCAACGTGGAATCAAGCTTACTGTAACTGAAGTTTTCACGGAAAAAACTTGCTAATTCCCGCCATTCATCGTTGGATCCAATTTTACGCAAATACCGAAAAGTTAACGACGGGAAACCCGACATTCCATTAAGAACGATTTTACCCAAAATTTTGACAACTTGAGCGGTACTCTTCCGCTAGTTCGATGAACGAACTATTTGGGCGGGTTGCGTTGTAGAATATATGTGGCCGAATTAAAAGTTGTTTCTCGGTTGTTTAGTTGCCTGGTGAACGGTATAGCACGATCTCAGATGTCTTGCCATTGTTCCGACATGCTAAATCTTCTGTCTGATTTTATTTTCCAGATTTGTAGCCGTGAAGTTGTCAGACATTCGGAGAGACGTGCAATGTCCTATTTGCTTAGGTATGTTTTAATAATCCTTGGTGAACCTATTATCTCAAATAAGACAAAATTACTATTGATTTGAACATTTGGTTTTATTCTTTATACAATTCATATTCTTAAAGGCCTAAACACGCATACTACAAACAATCTTGCTGTTTAATATTGGTGTCAGCGTGTCATCCAGGCCTTTACTGATTTTAACAAGTAAGATTGTTGTCATATCTTGAGTTTGAATTGTAAAGAGACGTTTTGTTGTCATATCAATCATATTATATGATGAACTTATTTTTGTTAGTATAAATGTACATATGCACTGTAAGATACCTAGCAGTAAGGTTATTTGAAAAGCTTGATTTGTCCGGGATGAAATGTGAAGAATGAGAGGATTAATTTTTATGAAGTGTTGAATCAAGTGCCACCGGCCCATCTGATCTAAGAACCTTTTCTGATGTAACAAAATTGATTTTTTTGTATATAAGTTGTGTCAGAGAACTTAAATCAATTCTGATGTAACCAACCTGAGATTTGCATTCCACTGTCACAAAATTCCGAATCTGGGAGCGATAGCAAGAATTTAAATCTCAGGTTGGTTCTTTATATGGACTGTTGATTTAGAAATGGATTCTGATGTGGCTTCTTTATCAAATTATGAACGCATACAGTTCATTCTTCACATATTTGCTTTGACTTAGAAAGGTTATCAGTGTAAGTTGTCGCCCCCCACCCCCCATGGGCCTTACATATAATTCTAACTCTAAAATGATAGCATTTTTTCGGCTCCATGGACCTTTGAACGTGTGTTTATATTTTAGGCGACACTAATAATTGCCATCCTTCTGCTTTTCTTATTCCCCACAAGTAAATTAGAAGTTAAGATGACAAACTTTTCCTCCTTCACTTGTTTGTCCTAACATGGACTTTGTTATGGAGTTTTGCATTTTGTGATTAGGGAGTTCCTTCAAAGAGTAACTAATTGGACCATAGAGGGAGTGAATTCTTGAGCATATGAGGTTATGGAATTTGGTTTTCATTTATTTTCTTTTGGTGTTCTGCCTGATCAAATCTTACCGTTCAGGCTACATATAAGTTCATTTGGAGGCACTGCTTTTATGATAGTGTTGCATGTATACACATAACAATTAGTGAATTTATGCATCAACTCGTTACTCAAGCTCATATTGTAAAGTTTCTTGATCCTTACTTTCAGTTCATGCACACACAGCTATCTGATAAAGGCAACACCAAAGAATCTTTTTTTTCCCCATAAAAAAATAACTAAATTCCAAATCAAAACATTCATGAAAATTGACATTTTTAGTGGATGTATCCAAATACTATGAGCAATGACATTCTAAATGTTAGCATTCTTGGGAAATATATTTAGGTGGATTTGGTGAGGAAACCACAAAGCTTACGTAGGAAGGTCATCTCCATGTTTATGCATGCATAGTCTTCTTAGGAGATCGATAAAAGTTTTTCAATTCCTAATGTGCAGGAATCATCAGAAAAACCAGAACAGTGATGGAATGTCTGCACCGCTTCTGCAGGGAATGCATTGACAAATCAATGCGTTTAGGGTATGTTCTTATGTAGTTTTTATTTTGATTTTGCTAATTTCTGTACAGCTCAAGAAATTAAAGATATATTGTTGCACAATTTTCCTTCAACCAAATTGTTACTGAAATTTGCTGCAGTAACAATGAGTGCCCTGCTTGCCGCACTCATTGTGCCAGTCGACGCTCTTTGAGAGATGATCCAAATTTTGATACCTTAATTGCTGTGTTGTATCCAGATATCGACAAATATGAGGAGGAGGTGGGAATATTATGTTTTATCATGCAAGCTTGGTGTTTGATGATTGTTATCGTCATTTCTGCATACTCCAATATTAATTTATATTTTTTTTTTTGTAGGAACTAGCTTTTCAGGAAGAAGAGAAAGCTCGTAATAAGCAGGTGAGAGGGCTAAGTTTTGAGGATTATTTTTTTTTATGGACATGCATTTGTTCATTTTCCAGAGTTGATGAGCTCACTTGACATTGTTCAATGTTCAAGACTCCACTGATTTTATCAGGCTGAAATTGATTAAAAGAGAGAGGAATTATTTGAATCATTATTTGATAAATATTTAATGCAAAGTTGTGGGAGCATCGGGATACGAAATAGGAGCATGTTTTTCTTAGTTGTTGTGTTTTTCGATTCCATTTGACTTGGAAACATCTCGTGCTGAAAATCAGCATGGCTATTATCGATTGTACTTGTATCAGGTATCTTTATCACACTTGATTGTTCTATCTTCATATTTGGTCTAAAATTGCTACTTTTCGGTTATTTTGCAGATCCAATCTTCCATTGCTCAGACACTTAAACGACAAACTGAAGCTTTGGGTCGTAAACGTTCAAAACCTTTGAGGAGATTAAGTTCTAGAGGACGAAAAAGCTTCCAAAATCATATTGAGAGTCTAAGCTTTGATGAAAACGAGGACGAAAATGATTATGATGCCAGCAAAAATTCATCTTCTGCTGATGAGCGTATGGATACTAGACCTAATAAAAGATCCAGGAGAGGTGGTCCTGTTAGATTTTCCCAGTCTTCCTCAGCTACTGGAGCAGACGGAGCAGATGGTGGCAGTAACGAAAATGATTATGAAGTGAACAAAGAAAGAGTTGGTGCATCGATGGGGCTTGTTAGTAGCTCAGAAAAACTTTCTTGGGGCAAAGGTGGAATAAGGAGTCACACTAGATATGGGGGTATTAATGGGGGTGGCGGTAAAATTTCCAGGAATAACCGCATCACCAAGCTGTCAGATTATGTTCGAAACTCGGAAAATATCAGTGAGGAGGAGGTAAAAACGACAATTTGAGTTGTTACTAAACTTCCTTATGAATAAACTATGGACATGTTAACGTATAAATGGCTCGCCTATTGAATGACATGCATGCTGCTATACCTCTTGTAGCTGCTTAAAAGCCCAACGTTGCTTTATTGTTTCTATCCATCAATGACTTTTGGCTTCTCTTCCTGAATCTTAGTTGGACGTCCAGCTTATGCTCGTTTCCATGGATAAAACTAGAATACCCGCGTTGCGAAGTTCATATATTTGCTGCAGGCCATCAGTGACGATTGGACACCTACGTCAAGTAATCTTTCATTAAATGGACAGCACTTGCACTTCATCCAATTATTTAGTTGATTCTTGAGCTTCCTTTCTTCTGCAGTTGGTTGCTCTTGAAACCGCACTTTCAGTTGATGTCATTGAAATGTACGTGGTGAAAGAGCTGCAAATGAAAATCAATCCTTCAACCTCGGGAACTTTTCTGGACCCATGTAAAGAAAGTGCACAGATATTAAACCAGCAAGAAACGCTATCGATGGACAAACTCAAAACACACCGGCTAGCTTGTGGCTATCTGGTATGCCTTGAACCTACACCACACAAATGCTTGAAAACAGTGCACCCACTACTTGAATAAGCATTTGTATAAGCCTTTTATACAACATTTTAAGCTTGTTGCCTTGATTCCAGCTTTTGGCATATCAGAAAAAGGGCTAGAGTTCTGTGAAGACGAATTTGTTTGGCTAAGAAGAAAAAGGCCATCAAACCTTCATATGCAGACAGACATACGGTGCTTACTACCAGTTCATCCTTGAAATGAAGATTTAGGTAAATTTCCATACATGTGTCGATTAAAGATATCAAATGCTTTAAGAAGTTCCAACTCCATGTCTTCCCCCATCTGAATGTGTTGTTATCTAACCACCTCCATTAGCTATTGGGTTTCCTCTTTCGCCTGTGCAATTCTCATCATCCTTGCAGTATTTAACTGAGGCGATACTGATAAAAGCTGTGATGGGGAATATAGATACCATGAAATATGGATGGCTTTGACAATGTAGAGCGATTTTCGTTACATTGCGTCTCATCTCAGCTCAAATCTCATCACGATAGTTTGTTACTGAATATGTGAGTTTCTCTGATTTCCTTCCAATATTTTTATGGACAAAATAGTGTTGTTGCTTTAGGAAATATCAATAGAAAACTTAGTGGGATCAAATAATCAGTTAACTTTTCCGAGAGATTGCGTGCAAAAAAAATTTAGTCAAATCTGGTTGCGTTGATTCAAACCAATAAAACATAATTTAGATTTGACTTGTGAGATCAAACAGCTCAAATTCAGAAGAGAACTTAAAGAAAGCCAACCAAATTTGGACATAAATCTCGATTTAACCACATTCCATTAGCTTTTGTGTTGGACATTTTTGGGAATTTTGTAGCCATTCCCTCGGATAAAATGGAAAAGATTTAAAATTAAATTCATTAGTGTAGTGCAATAATTGTAGCCTCCTACCTACCTCACTGCTGATTCCGACTCTATCCTTATCCATAAACCGCTTGTTTTCTTATATTTTAATTTCTTTGGATTTTTCCTTACTTTCCACATTTGTGGGCCCTGACTAGAAATACACTCGGCCCACTACCAGATCTTTTGCGGGTGGTGGGCCCATTCCATTACCAACTTTCCCATACACTTCCGTAACGAAGGGTTTATCACAATTTAATGCTTATCATCATCATAATCTTGCACTATCTACTGATTGATTAAATTTAAAAGAAAGCAAAGGCCACATTTATTTAACATAACAATCGTGAGTCGCTCATCACCGCCGTGCACGGCGGACTCTATTAAGAAGCAGTCCGATCATCGGCCGCGACAGCAGACTTAAAACTTAGTTAACTACGAACTCACACATATTAAACACTACTATATAAAAACTTGCTTGGCAGATGCCAAAACCTAGTTAGGGCATGTAAATCACATAAACATCCAAAACCCACCGGTCCACGTTAACAAACACGACTTTTTTACGACGCTATTTACATGAAACCGCCGGTGAAAGCCGCCGGAGCCTCCATTTAACGGTGCTTGCTCCTGGTCTCACCGCTGTAGAGCCTGTAGTCACAAAACCAACAATTTCATATCAAAATAGAGGGCTCAGATGTCAGGACCATGACGCAGTCAACAGATCTGACGGCTTGGATCTGAACGGAATTTTCAAATCTTTTTATCATCCCACCAACTGTTGGGAATATTAAGGACAGGATGCCTCAAAAACTAATATCACTATGATTTTAAAGGTTTGATTATACTCCGTCCAGTAGAAAGGGTGGAAAGTGGCGGTACGTACCAGTCGTAAACAGTTGGAGAGTTTGGTTGAGGTTTGTCGAAGACTTCAGCACCAATAGTCTTGGTGGCAAGGTTTCTACCAGGGTTGAAGACGCTCCTCCAAACATTGTCCTTACGCGCCGCCGTTAACGGCGTCGTAGGTGTCACCGGCGTGGTGGGTGTTGCCGGACTATTCGGCATGGACAACGACCCTTTGCTTCCCTCTCCATCCAAATCTGAAACCAATAGGTACAATAATCAACCAAGAAATGGTAAAAAACAGGAAACAATTCTCACACTCAAGATTGAAGGGTAAACCTTTAACGATGGGGGGATTGATGGTGATTTTCCTGAGCTTGCCGAGGCCGCGGTCAGGGCGAGGTCCAGCCACAATATCATCCCAAAGCTTCTCAAGCAGAACCATTGTTGTTCACTTCACCTCCCACTTTGTTTTGAACCCAATTCCATAATCATGTGTATGGTTTTATAGATACAGAGCTCTGGCTGCTCAAAGTGTCTTGCCCTTTTTTTTATTTTATTTTTTTTTTTAGATTTTATTCTCGTTAGATTAAAAAGAAAAAGGGTTAACCTCCTTTATTTACCCCAACATTCCTAGTGAAAATTTGAAGGGAATGAGTATAAACTTAATAAAAAGTTTGCGTGGATGAGTTCTAATTTAAACCCATGAATATGCTAAAATTCTTAATATATTCTATAAATTATTATTCTGTTCGGATTAACCCGAAGTTTTTGTCCTAAGAACTCGAAACCAAATCGAATCAATTCGAGTTCAAAAATATTAATCCAACTCAATTCAAAATGCTAATCTAATCCAATCCAACTCAACTTAACTCCTATAATTCGGGTTGAGTTGGTACCGATGGTGGAGTAGTCGGATTGAAGTACACCCGTAGCTGGAAAAGAGTATATGTGAAATGGATAAGGATGAGGAGACAGAAAACATGGTAGCAGAAACCAAAAATATCTACTTCAGATACAGAGCAGGGTATGGGTTGCTCTACACGTGGAATCTCTGCCTGCTGTTAAAATATAAGAACAAATGAGGGCTTGGGTCCAGTGCAAAAGGACACATGATTTATTAACACAACGTGGATACCCTCTGGTTGTTCTTCAACTCTATGAACGGCCCAGATTTTGTTCTCAGTTGGGAATGGAGAATAAGATGCCACTGGAAGAATCTGGAGTGTGCTTGGGTGGAATGCTGGTTGTTCCAGGGTCTGAGCCAAGGCTGCACTTTGGATATATATATTGGTAAGCGAAGAAAACGCTGAATATGGTAATGATATCTGTACATATATCCAGCAACGCTCAAAGCACGCCATAATACAAAGACCCTTTTCTTAATCACCGAAGTTTTCTAGGACAACTTAAGAGCAGTAGGTTCACTTTGTCTTAACAACGACAGAGAAGCATAGTTAGAAGAGGAGTATTTGGATTCAGAGTTCTCAAAACTGGAGAAAAGTGATAGTTCAGCAAACGTGGGGATGCAACATTAGCAGGTTCCTCCATCACACCCAATTTGGTTAAGCCATCCGAAGAGTGTCTAAACTCAGTAGGCAACCCATTCCTTGAGGCAGAAACCCCTCTATTAAGGGGAAATGATGCACCAAAACCAGTAGAAGGCAATTTCTGGCAGTCAGGAAGTTCGCTCAAAAGTGAATCCTCCCTCTGGTGCAACCAAAACTGAATCCCCTTCCCCACTGTTCAGGCTAACTTTAGATTCAGCATCAAAGTCTTCACACCGAGAGGGAGCGAGAAGTTGTAGAGTCTACTCGACTAAAGGAGAAGAAGTACATAAGTAAATTGAGACCACGTTGAATGATAACAATCTCGAGAATAGGATAGCTAAAAAAGTAATAAAATAATTGAAAATCACTACTTGTACCGACAAGGTGCACCTCCTTTTTCGGTGGTTCAACCATAAGAACTCCCAAATTAAGCGTGCTTCACTTGGAGTAGTTCTATGTTGGATGACCTCTAGAAAGAATGATGAGAGTGAGAACAAAACATACTGAAAAGACTTGTGTTGGTATGTGTGGGGATGGTCTCCACTCTTAGAAGCGAGAAGTAAGTAACATTATCATATTGTAGGAAAATGTTGGGGTCATCAAGTGCCGAATCCTAGGCATGGGTTGTGACAAATGGTATTAAAGCGATACCTTATCTAATAAGATGGGGTTCAGGGACGAAGAAAGGCAGAAACTAGTGAGCATGTGACACCCGAGTAAATGAGGGATACATAAATGAACCAAAACTACAACCGAATCAAAACGATCTTTATGATAGAATGACTAAGAAAGACTTAAAAAGAATTGAAAGTAACTACGTATACCAACAAGGTGCATCTTCTTTTTTAGTAGCACAATCATAACCACTCTAACATTAAGAAGGCTTTACTTGGAGCAATTCTATGTTTGAGTGACCTCTTGAAAATTCTCCTAGGATGCATATATGTGAGGACAAAGCATACTAGAATGCTCGTGTTGGTGTGTAGAGATAAGTCTTCTCTCTTAGAAGGGAGGAGTAACGTAACCATATCGCAGGGAATATTGGGACTATTCTGCATCGAACCTAGATTCAGAATCCTAATCCAAATCCTCCCAATCCTGAGAATGGATTGTGACAAATGATGTGATGAATCAAAATAAAACCTTCTAAAGAGGAATGTTTATAGGTACAAGGACTGGGAATTGAAGGCAGATAAGTTCTAAGTACCCACTAGTCTTACAGAAGGCCAAGAGACCTAAACAATTTTCTACAATTCAATCGAGATCCATCGTATTATCATCGATGAGTGAAAAAGGAGAAATGATTCGAGTATAGTATAAAGGATAAGCTACAATGTAACAAACCTCTATGACACTCGACAACTTTAAGGATTCAAGAGCTTTAATGGATGCCTGAAATGGGGACTCCAAAATCTCAAAAACTAAGCCCTAGAAATCAAATTGATAGCTAAACATCTAATATTTGAACGAAATCTATATCTTTAACTTAAACCATTCAAAACCCACATACCAAATACATTCAGATAGAAACAGAGAAAGAGATGGAGAGAGCAACATACATATTCAGCGTTGAAGCTGCACTGGGAAGACGACTCCAATTCTGTATGAAATAAAATTATTTTCTTGTAATAATTCAAAAATGGGGGGACACGTGTCGAAATCAGGCGAGGTGGAGGGAGTGAAACGTGGTGGAATCAGGGCGTACATAGGAGTGGGTCCGGATTCGCCTTGAGTGCCAAGTTCTTCATCAAATCAAATCAAAGGCTAACCTTCACACTTTCTTCTGTCCATCTTATGGGATACAAATCCCATTTCTCAATATTTCCTCACACCCCACCCACGCTCTTTCGTCGCGTGTGTTCTGTACGCTCCCATGCACCTCAAACCGTCGTCGTTTCTCATGCCTTTCCCTTCACTCGTGTGTGGCGTGGCGTGGCGTGGCGTGTCGCCTCAAAATGCAGCAACGTCCACGTCGGAAGCGGCAGCCGCCGCCACCCACTCATTTTCTTTTTATAATTATTATTTTAATGTTGCGAGGTGGTGAGGTGGCTGGGCTGTGTTCTAGATTAGGGTGCCAAACGTGGCACATCATAGACATGAGGCATCTCTCACATTTCGGCCGCTTTTATATATATTTTTAATAAATAAATAAAGAAGGTGGTGGGGTCCACTGCCGGCCGAACACGCCAAGTTGCCGGTGTGACCATCTGTCTGTCTGTGTCCAACACGTCAACACGTTCTCAGCCCTCACCCCGCGCCGTACGTTGCTCCTGCCCCAAATTTGAACATTTAATTTCCCATTATTTTGATTTTATTTTACCAATTTAAAAATAATAATAATAATACGTATAATATTATGAGTGCGGCGGACCTAATCTCCATAAGCATATTTCTCCCGCATTAATCTTCCGCCGCCTGCAATTCTATTGACTCCTTTTCCTTTTATTTATTATTTTTATAACAAAAACAAATATAATAATATAATAATATAATATTGGTATTTGGTTTGGTTTGGTTTGGTTTGGTTGGGTAAATGGAGAATCTTCCAATCACCATCCTCCTTTTTTCCCTTCTAAATTTGAGTTTTTTCTTCATACCCAAGTTAAGAATTTTTTATTATTTATTTTAGAATACAAATTAATATTATGTTTAATTTCTTTCCGTTAAATAAATAAAAATTGAAGGTTTTTGAAATAGGGACCACAATTTTTAAAATATTATTATTAATAATAATAAAGTGAATAGGTGTAGGGGTAGGATGGAGAGATTTGAATGTGTTGGTAAAATCGGCAGCCGCGCATATCCCCACTTCTCGTTTGGGGGAGTGGTCCCCATTACGAGACCGCCCCTTCGGGTGTCGTATGCGTAAAAACCGGATTCAAAGCTGCTGCCTCCATTGGCCGCCACGCACGTGCCCCCACCTTTTCCTTTTCTTTCTCAAGCGTGTGGGGGACGCCACCGCAGCACCCACATCCATCTCAATTATTATTATTTATTTTTAAAAAAGGAAAAAATTGGTTCACACAACTGTACCAAAGCCGCCGACGGATGATGAATATTTGATTACACGTGTTGTCAGTGTTTTCTCCATCCACCACGACAACGACTTCCACGTGTCAAACGACCTTCCATCTCTGAACTCCCGGCGGTTTGCTTTTTCATTTGTTGCCCTGAATTATTAATTATTAATAATGGTAGAAGGAGTTTTGTTTGAATTTTTTCATTTCAAGTAGAAACCCATTTGATGATGATATTATATGTAAACTGAAAACTACAAAAGAATTAATCTTTGGGGAAATTAAATACACAAGTAATATTGCAAAAAGATCCCTCGCCGGAGAACAACCGGAGAACAGCCGGAGAAAGATGAGAAACTCCATATATGGGTTTTCATTTACTCTGTGCTGCAAAAATGAGGAGATCGGACGGATTTGTATTCACAATCGTATCATCTTCCTTCTCCACTTCTAACATTTCGTATTTAAGTTATTGTCGCGTTAAACACATAATTTGAAACAAAAAAGGGAACTACTTCAATATAAATCCCAGCCGTTCTTTCTTGCGTGGGGAAAAAATTTCAGGCGGATTCTGGTGGGGGAAAGTTCAGATCCAAATCCAGGCCGCCAACGCCGCCGCCGCCGCTTCGGGGTTTGAGGTCCTGCCCGTTCATGTCTACGACGGAGGAGGAGTCCGAATCGCTTTGAACACCGCCGCCGGCGTACTCGCGGCGGAAATCACTTACGGCTTCGTGATGATGGTCGAAGCGTAGCCGTTGGTTTGGATGAGGATGGGTCTTGATCATTCCGGCACGAAGGGCGGCATCGAAATACAGAACGTGGTTTGACGGCGGTATGCCGCGGGAAAAAACTTCTCCGATCATGGGAATTTGGTACCGCTGGAACGGGAAAGTGACGGCTCCGGCGGCTGTGAGTCCGGGCATGCCGTGAGCGAGATTGAGATTCAAAGGTGAGGAATCAACCATTAGAGGTTGCTCTCGGCTGGAGGACTCAACCGTGCTACTCTGACTCGGGCTCTGGTTATTGTTGATGTTGTTTATCTTATTGTTAAGGTTAAGAAGATCGTCGGAGGGCAAAGGGAAATTGGTCTTGGCCTTGACACCACGGAACTCTCTAGCGGCTTTATCGTAGGCTCGGGCCGCCTCCTCCGCCGTATCGAAGGTTCCAAGCCAAACGCGGCTCTTCTTACAGGGATCTCTGATCTCAGCGGCGTATCTCCCCCACGGCCGCTTCCTCACTCCTCTAAAATGCACTTCCTTCACGTTGCCGACGTTGGCCTTGACGGCAACCGCCTTTTCCCTGGGCGCCATTAATCCCAAAATCCGATGAAAATCAAATGAAAGAAATGAAAAGGGGCCGGCGATTTCTGCCCGTTCTTTTCCCCGTCTTTTTGGGTGTCGGGTGAGAGAGATGGATGAAAAGGGGGGGCAAATGGGTCGAGATGCCGAGGAGTGGAGACGGGATGGTGGGAATTTATAGAAGGGATGAAGAATTGGGGGAATGAATCGGCGAGGAATTGATTATTATGATGAAATGGGGCCGAGGGTGTGGAGATAAGAGGGGAGGGGGGGGGGCACAGTCAACAAGAGAATTGACTGAGAAAGGGGCGGCTAGTCCGAAGGGTGTGGTGGTAATTTCGCAATCCAGTCCCCGAATTAAGTGTCATGTGGGGTTGTCAATACAGCAGATCCACAGGGAAGGGCGCGTTTTGCATTACTGTTGATTACGTTTGCCTTTTACCCTAAACCACGCGCTCCTCTCTATTACCACTCCGCGTACCCTCCACTTCCTCCCTTCTACTCACTAACGTCAAATAAATAAATAAATAAATTCATTTTCTTTTTTAGGTCTCTCTCCCACTTACTTTTTTACTTATTTGACATTTAAAAAAAAAAACCATATGATAAATTGGGTTAATGTAACTCTAAACATATAATTTTAAATGTAATAAGTAATTTAGAGATATTAAACGGAAAATTAAGAAAATATTAGGAATAAAATTGGAAGTTAATGAATATATAATAATAATTATTATTATGTTAATGGTATGAATGGAAAGGAAAGAAAGGAGTGATGTCGAATTCAATAGAATAAATGTGGGAGTCAAAACGCAAGCGTTTAGCATTGAATTAGGTTAATTAGAAATAATAAATACATTAATTAAAAGAAATTAAATAATAACAAATTTAAAAGCAGGGGTAATCTGGAGACAAAATTCAGGAGGGTGTAATTATAAATAAATTAATTTTAAAAAAAGAAAAAGGAAAAAAGAGCGCGTGTAGCGGAGCAGCAGGTGGAAAAAAGTTGTCGGCATATTCTGTCAATTCGCCTCGTGACTAGGATTTAATAAATTTAAAACTCAAGCAATGACGTGTCTTCTTTTTTGGGAAATAAAATTAATTAAATAAATAAATGGGGGCTACGACTGCTCCACACACAGAGATTAAGATAAGAGGGGTTTGAAGCGGTCCATTGACCGTGTGGTTCAAGCCAATGAGTGGCGGACGCGTGGCGTTGAAATGGCCTAATAACGCGTTGGCAGACAAACTGTGGGTTCCGCAGCCACGATTACGAACTATGGGCTGCCGCACACGCACACATTCCCCGCACCTTCTGACGCCAGTTTCAGTTTTTTTTTTTTTTTTTTTTTTTTCTTTTTTCTAAAGGACGAAAAAATCTATTTAAATTCAATTAATGAAATTCCAATTGAAATTAGGTTTCCAATTCAGCCGTGGAAGGAACAACAACCAAGTTTTTGAATTAATTATGCACGTCTTTCCTTTTAATTATTTAGATACTAAGAATATTAATTTTATACTCCACTTTTATTTGTGTGCAACTAAAATTTAAATGAAAAAATTATTTAAAAATTAAAGTAATGGATTTTTTTTTTTAAATATGAGAATGGAAATAGCAAAAAGGACCAAAGAAGGGAAAAGTCAATATTAGAGGCGGAAAAGGCGGCGGAGGGGTGCCGGAAAGTTGACGCCATAATCAGACTACTGACTTAAATTGACTTGTAATTTGGAGGTAAATTTATTGATCCAAATTTAATAATAATAAAAAATTTGGTTGGTTGCGTTCGTGGCAGCAAATAATAAAAGCAACAAAAATATATTTATAGAATTATTAAAAAAAAAAAACAAAAAGTTAGTTTTAACGGAAAGATGGGAAAACGTTGACTAGAAAATTAAAGAAAAAAAAAGTAACGTGTTTGATGTCAGTTTGACCCGTGACAACTGACAATGTCCGTTTTTTTTTTTTTACTTTTGGAGCAATTTAATTAAATGCCAATTCAAGAATTCTATAACAAGCCCAAAGTTTGATTGAGTTTTTCTTTTCAAGGATGTAATTTTAAATGGAGTTTTGAATTAAGAACTTATGCATAAATTCTCATAACTTATCCTCAATCATCTTCTCTTTTGATAAACTACATTTTTTTTGTTTAAAAAACGTGTTTTTAAATAAAATCAATAATTTTATGTACGATTAATAAAAGAAAAAAAAAAAGTCTTGCTACGTACTAACTAGTACATGCCGTGTAAATAAAATGACAAGAATTTTCGTAAAATAAAATAAAATTTAGAAATATATATTTTTAGTAATTTTTAATATATTGGTATTATTTATATATTAGGATTGGAGATAGAGCTCCGTTGGGCTTGAACAAAGTACACTATTTATTTGATAGTTAAGGTTCTATTTCTATTCATATGACTGAGTAATGACATACCTCTAATACCATATTAGAAGTTACGATCTTACACAATATTGAACAAAGTACACTATTTATTTGATAAGGGTTCTATTGATATGACTAAGTTAATAACATATCTGTAAACTTCCACATTATTCTAATATTGTCAACTTTAAGTATAAATACTCGTGATTTTGTGACTATTTCTCTAGATCTTTTGTTTTACTTACAAACCCAAACCCTTCTCTCGATCTTTTGTTTTACTTACAAACCCAAACCCTTCTCTCGATCTTTTGTTTTACTTACAAACCCATAATTTTCTTTTAATTAACGACTATTTCTCTGGATAATTCTCGAACACTTCACCTAATTAGGAAGATATCTAGACCCAAAAAGCCATGAGAATTTAGATATTCATGACATTCAATTCATATTCTTCAAGAAATTCACCTTCCAGAAAACCAGTTTCGCAAAATTGTGTAATATTTACTTCTCTCTACAATAAATCATAAACTAGTTGAGCATCAACTCCATAAACATGGAAATGGAGTATGAAAAACAAGTTGATGAATGGCAAGAACTATATAGACTATAGAATTTTAATCTGTATCGTGTAAATTAGATTATTTCTTCTTCATCATCAGCACAGCGTAAATCTAGATTACATATTAAACCACAATGTCGGATATATACTTTAGTCTTCAATCTGCTGCTGTTCGTCTCCAAATAAATGATCCACTGCTCGCCTTCTCCAATTTCTATCATCCAATCGGGCCCAAGAAGCTGAAATCACGAAAAGAAAAACAATCGACACATTAGCCCCAACATTACGCCGAGGACACTCCAACATTCATCAAAATCCTAGTACTTAGGTTTAGTGGATCATAAAATTTGGTAGTGGAATCGCCGAAAGATCCATAGAGCGACGTCTTCAGAAACAGAGGGAAATGCCTAGAATCGACGATCGCAGAAGGTGCAAACCAGATTGAAACTAAAACTGGAAGGAGAAAAGGGATATGATGGACGGATACCTGAGAGATCGGACGGTGAAATGCTGCCAGAGAGCGTGGAAGAAGAAATTGGCTCCATGAAGGAAGATCACAACTCCGGTGCAGCCCAAGACGAGAAGCTCCAACGCCATTGGAATATAGAATGATTTTACTCCGATTTCTTCAGCTTTTAGGGTTTCTTTTGTTGAAGGGGAAGGGGATGAAGAAAGTGAAAAAGGATGAATCGGGTGGGCACGTCACCCTTCACATTCTTATCCAGATTTATTTTCTTTTATTTTATTTCATATTATAGTTGGTTTTCCCAAAAAGGAATTATTTTATTTTTTCATTTTCTGGGAACCGTCTGATGCTAATAGGGGAGAATTGACGGTGGGGATGAACGCACCCGACCCGAGAGTAGTTAATAAGTGGGGGTACCCGTGGATCTATGGGCCTATGGGTCGGCCCACATGCCTGCAACTCTGTCTGTCCCCATACACCGACTCTTTCAATTGCTCCACTTTATCACACCGCCGCCCTAATTATTTATGCAACACAAAAATTATTTTTAGTTCAACTAAAACTATAAAATATTGGCAATAAAAATTTATGGAACTTTCATTTCATTGGTTTAGACCAAATTTGATGACTGTGTTTTGTTAGGGTAGTTATGGTTTCTGTATTTTACGGTCTTTATAAGACATTATTAGCTAAAGACCTGGATAAACTTGTAAACCAAATAATTCTTGAGAATTCTGTAATTTCTAGGATTTTTCAAAGATATTTGTATGTACCGACGTATAATTGGGACATGAACATGAACGCACACACCCATCGACATCGACTGTTGAACTGAAATGAATTGAAAATGACAAAAGGCAGTAACTGTCATGTGTGTAATGTTCCCTTCCATGAACATTGGCATCTTTTGATCTCAACTATAACACCAACATCCAATTCATCATCACGCTATAATAAATTCAAAATGATAGGTCATCAACATAGTTGTGTCACAATGAAAGGAGAAGGTTTTAAAAGAACAGCATTTGTAATTTCCTTCGAACTAGCACCTAGGCCTATCCCCACTAGTTGCCATGCAATTGGAGATTCTTACGTTTGTGTTGTTGACCGTCCAAATTTCTCCTTGTATGGCGTTGTATAGTCTGGCTGCTGGTACTGCCCGGCCGACGTTCGAGCGCCAATGAGCATTGATAGTGCTCCCCTCTTGTCGTTCATTATTCTGAAATTTTTACATTCAAATTCTTCTTGCAGCACAACCACAATAAATAAACAGACTTTATATTCAATGGAATTTATTCACTGGTTATAATGAAGGATATATTATCATCAACCATACTCAAAGAGTTTCATATTGGGTCGATGACAAATAAAGCCATAAGAATCAATTCAACGTCTGTTAATTTATTCATTTTAGCATCATTTTGGTAATAACTTACTGCTTTCATTAGTCCTCTAAGAGAGTTGAGAAAAGCATATCCCGCATAAAGCCTGCTCTCTCAATAGCTTGTCTCATTCTTTTATCCCGCTCTTCCTGGCTCAAAGAAGGATCAAACCTGGGGAGAGGAAGAAAAGCGTTGATACTAAACAACAGGAAGAGGTAAGCAGAGGGCGTAACTAGATTAATTCCTCCATTGATGCAAAATAGACAGATCTCCGTTACTTGGCTATGGTCATCAAGGTAAACTTCTCTTACCTTATGACCTAACACAAGTAGCTGTAAAGGGCGATGGAATTAATAGGATTGGGTTAAAGCAAAGGGCCTTTGCAGTCATGGCATATAAGGGAACTGAAAGGCACAACAGTTTCTTGATCTAACCAAAACCCTTTTTGATGAACAGACACGCTAGTGGTTTGAGGAGCAACAATAAGAGAGAAATCCAGTACAACAAAAGGAAAAAATAAAGACACAGAAAGGGATGTGAACAAGTACCTTGATTTCCAAATAGGTGATGGTGCCACATTCTCCGAAGATGTGTCTTCGGCACTGGTTAGCATGGATTTCGAGATATCTTCAACTTCAGATGCAGGATAATTCAAAATAAGTGATGATAGAAACGGATCATGAGCTGCATTAGGCCCATTAGTGGTGCTTGTACGGTACCCACTGCTCCCTAGAAGCACCTGCAGATGAGCCTCGCGAAGGTCCCGGCTCAAGAGGGACAATGCCTGACTGCTGGGAATGGCAATCTTACGCAACCTGCAGCCTCTCTGAAGGTGATCCTTTGTTAAGCAAACAAGATGGGCATGGTGAAAATAATAGCTTCCTCCTCAAAACATACCACTTAAATGACAGGGTTCAGAAAAAACAAGTATCAAATTTAAAGGATATCTTGAACAAGTGTCCATGGTGCAATGTTATATGGCTCAACATGTCCCCCATGACTTTAACCGAGCAAATGGGACAAACCTGCAAAGCAAATACAAATTAAGCAGAAGCCTAATTTCTCATAAAACAAAAACCTAAAAATGCAGCAAATAGAGCACAAGAAACAGTGAGAGCTTCTTTCTCCTCACAGTTTCTTAAAATACTTTGGGGATCTCATCGAATAATGGGTAAGAAGAAAAATAATTTCACAAGAAAATGGAAGATTAACCTAAAACAATTCTTACACACACAACTTCCAAGGATTGGCAGAACTATAACCACTGAATGTCCAGAACAACAATTGCTAAAATCTCTAATGAACTAGACTGGAAATCGTTTCTATAATTTCAAAATCCATAAATCTTATGTAAGCCTAATAAAGAACCTAGGCGAGTAGAGACGCTGAAAACTTTCTGCATCAGCATCAGTATCGAGCAGCTGTCAGCATAACCGAAACAATCATAATAGCATGAAGAAAAATTCATCCTCCTAGTCCCAGGTGAATAGCATATAAACTTGGTTGCACGCAGAAAAGAGAAAGGAGGAAATACGTACCGTGACTCTCGTCTCGCAAGAGTGTTCGTCTTCCAGATGCGAACAAAGGGACATAACGTCAAAACTCTCATAGCAAAAAGGACATGAAAAATGGGGGCGAGCGTCATCATCCATCTCCAAATCATCGATTCCCAACAGATCTAAACCGAACCAAATCAACAAATCAGAAAGCAAAAAGAAAAAAACAAAAAACAAAAAAAGGTAGATGAGAAAATGAAAACGGAAGGGTTGCTAAACCTAAGTTGGAGGTTTGATGATGATGATGATGATGATGATGATGCTGCAACATATACTGGCGTTTGGCGGCGGCGAGGCGGGAGGTCCAGAAATCGGAATCCATTTCTGGGAACGAAGGAGACGAAAGTGGAAGATAGAGTTTCAATCTGGATCAGAGGTGGGGAAAAACAGACGAGAGTGCCTTCCCGAGTAGGTGGAAAGAAGAAACAGAAGTGAGGAAGGGAGGAGAGGCGGAAGTAGCCAGAGAGAGAGAGAGAAGAGAGGAATTGAATGAATGAATGAATGAATTGATTTGAGGTTTTGGAGAGATTAGATTGAAGTTAGAAGATTGGAGTTGGAAGTTTGAAGTTAGGAGTTTCTGAAAGTAGAAGGCATTTGGGTGGACACACAGAGATGGGTAATGCCTCAGCTTTCCATCGCCATGCGAGCCAATTTCGCCACTTCTTTCATTCTTTTCTTTTCTTTTCTTTTCCTCCTTTTCGTGGTTCACATTTTTCCGCATTTTCTTTCCTTTTTTTCTTTCTTTTCTTTCTAATCCTTCTTTTTTTTTTTTTTTTTTTCTATCAATTTTATTTTGTTTAAGATTTATGATATTTCAAATTATTGATTTTCTTAATATGTATATTTTGAACTTAAAAACAATTAAATTAGTTATTCATCTTTATTTTTTCCGCTAACAAATCACGAACATCTCTAATGCTCTGCTTTTGTTCTCTTTCACGTGTATTTTTTATAGGATGGGGAACTCGAGAAAAAAGAAAAATAAACCTATTAAAGAGAGAACATAAATGAAAGAAATAAAATTATGGAAGCCAAAAGGTTACAATGATAGATATCAACCAAGAGATTCCCATTGGACAGAAGAGAAAAGGATTTGTTTTTTCTTTTTTGAGTACTCAGTGATGGGAGCATCATAATACTAATAATAATAATAATAACAATAATAATAAATAATTTATTGACAAAGCGAGGTACTGATATACAGACAGAATTTCTAAAACGGGAAATCGGCGTTTCAGGGTTGGAAAATCATGTTCCTTTAAAAGAAACCTGAAAATACTTTAAATTTTCATCCATTAAAATTATTTTTCTACTTTAAATTTTAATTATTGTTTTAAAATAGGCAGATCTAATTATGAACTAATATATATATTGTTGGAAAAAAAAAAAAAATAAAACAAAGACATATATTTTCTATTTTTTGCAAACAAGAAATCATCGTGACCAAGTTTCTACAATCATATATTTTTAGGTCTTAAATACTCAAAATAGAAGTTAATATCTAAATGAGTTCACCTAAAATGCTACCATGAATTCACACCAAGAATCTAGTACACACCCTCCCTTTCCTATGAACATGGAGGGAGGTTTTGCTCTCGTTGGAACAAAAAGGGTGAAAGGGGAAAAAATATAAGGAAATTACTTGCTTTTACTTGCAGGTAATCATAAAAACATAATTCTACAGATGGAAATCTTAAATCACAAATCACGTATCATCATCTTAGTAAAAAAAATCTTACAGTCTCCATTCAAATTCTCGAAACTATGATCGATGCACCGCATCTCAACAGACAGTAATCATCCATCTACAATACAAAAAAAGAAAAGGGGAAATGTCGATTATAAACATTGTCTAAAAACTGTAACCAACTCATCTAAAGTTCAATTTTTATGGCTAAAACATCATGATTAACAAACATGTATATTGTTATTCTCCAGCTTGGAAATTGTAAAGGTGTCCACCCCCCTAGGACTTCTAAGTCAAGTAAACAGTAAAGAATCACACAGCAAGTCGCTTAGCCAAGTTCAGCAATGAGCAATCTCTCACGATCCTAGAGAAAGAAACACGTGGAGTTAGATACATAAAGGCGCAAAAGATTGATGATGGATGCAAGGTTACATTCTAGAGATTGCATATCTGAAACCTATTTTAGACAATGTGATTGAAGATGGGGGCGGAGCTGAAGGGAGGCTGATAGCAAATTTCGATGGGATATGAGATTTCAAGAAGGAAGACCATCATGAAAAGTAATGCCCCTAAGGGAGATCAGTCATAGGAACAGTTAGGGAGAACTAAATTCATTTGTAAATCACTACATAAAATTTTCTTTCAAGAAGTACCAGCATAGGACCTTCTATATGTTTATAAACCCCATAAACTATTCCCCTTGCACTCTCCTAGCACTAGGACTCATTTCAACTGCACTCTGTAATCTATTGGATCCATTTCGTGCATGCCACACTAAAATTTTGATGTTAATGTCAGTATGATTCTTCATAATAATCTTTTAGTTGCAGGAGGGGACGCTAACCTAGAATTGATTACCTTAGGTAAGTCCTGCTCAGTGGTAGCATTCATCATTCAAGAATCTACAACATAAAAGCAAATGTAGAAGTTTCACTTTTCAGGGTGACAATGATGTAATAACACCATTTTATAGAAAGTAACATTCGAAGGATACGAACTCAAGTAAAGTCCCCAAAGTTTCAAGAGAAAGAACAGTTATACAGCAAGGATAACTCAAGGATGTGAACTGTCATTAGGAATGGTGAATATAACAAAATTATGCCTCACCAACATGAATATCAACCTACGTGAACTCAGTTATGAGTTTGTTTCTTCCTATAGCTATAAATCCAATATCACTGAACTACTTGCACACGAAAAAACTAGCAATACATGACTTTATTTCAGCATCTTGTCTTTAGAGCGCAAGTGCTCGAACCATCCGACATTCATCATACATCATCATTGCAATCTGAGTGGTAAAAGAAATCAATATCACCCTTGTCATATTACTAAAATTAATGCCATCAATGAACACAAAACGAAAAAGAAAATTCAAAGGTAACCTGACTTTCGTCACAAAGCTGACTACTAAATATGGTCTAATATTAATTCATGATCCCAATAAAATAAACAAGATTGAGCTCTAATTCTTAGACCATAGAGCATTGAGAGAAGAAAAGCATAAAACATAGCAAGTGAATTCTAATTCTTAGACTATAAACATGGAACCAGAATATCATATTGGTCTAAGCCCTAAGGATCCAGTGGACAAATAGAATACAAATAAAATTTTCCACTTAAAGATTCAAAATAACAAGATCTGAATTCAATAATTTATTTGGAATTTCATCAGCCATCAATCTGACCACTAACTCCATAAAGTCATAGGAACAAAAGGTTGAATCTCTGAGCTCGGATTCACCACAAAAGAATGGTTTTCAAACACAATCCACTCGAGAAATATTTTACCACAATTTCCAAAAAGTCGACAACAAAAATAAATCCAGTCATTCCACCGTTCATGCTGAGACCTCAAATAGTCTCGTCTTGTCCTACAAAAGGAAAAGCAATGTGCACTCTTTCATCGCGCAAGAGAGTAAAAGATGGGTTGACGAAAATGAAAATTAAAAATTCTCCAGCCACACGAACAAAATTGTTCTTTCAAATTCTCAATGAACATTTACTGCTCAACCACATTTTGAATGCACCTAAGATATAACACCCCCCCACCACCTTGGATTAGGGATAAGGGAACCATAAGAACCTAGCCATTAAAAGAAGGTAGAATCGCCAACCCAAAGCAAAAGCTAAACAGGACAAGAGGAAAACTTAATTAAAAAAACGAACGAACAAGCAATACAGATGTTTACATAGAAAAATCCGGCGATAAGAGCATGAAAGTACCTTCAGAAGTCCAACCGTAGCTACGACGAGAAACGGAAAGCATAGACGTAAGCAATGCAGAGGCAGTAGCAGAGTGGTAAGGAAGCAACGATTCCACACAGCAACTCATTTCAACAGGAGATCTTCAAGATAAAAATCCATCAGACACATAACAAAATTCGAAATACCAAAGAAGTTTCATCGAAAATTTACCTCAAAATGCGATGGGACTGGGAGAGTGGATTCTGCTTGGGGATGCTGAACGGAGATGCGGGTGATTTCACTTTGGCACCATTGGTAAGTCTGCGGGAGATAGTGGCTCGGGCTAGGGTTGATCTGAAGGCTGATCTAGCAGCCATGGCAGCGGCGGAGGACATGCTCTAGGGATTTAGCAAAGGAATTCGGAAATTTCTTCGTTGGGGTTTTCTTGAGGTTTTAGCCTTTTACTTCGGCTTTAGGTATTCCTGTGTATGCGCTCGTACCGTACGAACATACTCCAGAACCTATGAGATCAGATCACTCTGATCCAATGGCGCAAATATTTGGATGACTCGTCTCTAATTACTATTAAACCCTCGGATCCATCTTCATTTAAATTTTTTTAATAAATTTTTGGCTTTAGTGCCAAAATTCTCCGTATACGGTCCTCTTTGAGCTCTTCCTTCCAGGCTTCCTCGGGAGGTTTGGAGGGAGGGGTTTTCCCACCCTTATAATAGATGTTTTGTTCCCCTCTCCAACCCACCTCCTTGGATACCGAGTGCATCATCAATGAGAGTGAACTTTTCACACTATTATAATAAATGTTTCGTTCCCTCCCCAACCCACTCTTTGGAGACCCAATGTCCTTGTTGGCTTACCGCCTCGATACCATTTGTAACAATCCAAACCCACCGTTAAAAGGTATTGTCCGTTTTAGCTCGTTACATATCGTCATCAATCTCATGATTTTAAAACGAGTTTAATAGGGAGAGGTTGTCACACCTTATAAGAAATATTTTATTTTCTTCTTCGACCGTGAATGAAATGAAAAGACCCCATCAAAAAATCTCACAAATTTGAAGACATTGGTTAAAAAGAAAGTTCGAACTAAGCGAGCAAAGCCCAACACAATTGTTGGGTGGAAGCCGACCATGTCTTTCTCGACCAAAGACACAATTGGGTCAGAGCAACTAAGCCCACAGCCAACCACAGGCCAAGAACCTCGCCCAAAAAGTAAGCAACCAAGCTAATCATTAATCTTCGAGGCCACATTTGCAAACAAGACACGAAAGGTGGCTGATTTTGAATGTCAGTAGGCATTGGCAGTAATTATTACACGAAAGTAAATAATGAATTGAATGAAATTGAATCGGGCGATATCTTCTTCTAATGAGCTATGTCGGCAACGCCCGAAATTGCACACACCCATCTAATTATTGTCTCTTCAATTACACGCCATCGCGTGGCTCCGCCATTACACATTATAACCCACCAACTGTTCATTTATTTATTTCTGAATCCCATTTAAATTTAATTCAGTTTTTTTGTGCACAATTAAATGTGGCTCCTTGTAATTATATCATTTATATAACCCTACCTAAACATATCCTATTAGGTCACATTAGGACAATAATTAGGCCAACCATTACCTAAGCCATATTATTATAGTAATTATTGACTAAGGCATAAGTGAATGGTATATAGCTAAAATGGATAACATTGAGAGCTGAACGCTTGGCTCAGATGAAATTAGGTCTTTGCTAGCTCAACCCATAACTATATATCTAAATCAGCCACATGCTTGCATTAATTATCATTTGGTTACGTTTCAACATCAATCAAACATGTCACAATGCATGCATGCAACATTCATTTTTTAGTGACAAAATGACGATACTTATAGTTTGTTATTACTGAATTAGCGGTGACGATGTGAAAATCTGAAATTTTGAACTTACAAAAAAGAGGAAGACGGGTCAATTGCTTTTGAACCGTGTTCATTTGACAACCACTCACTTCAAGCTGAACTTAAAGTAATAATAAACGTGTACTCGTCACTAGAGCTATGCTTTTCAAAACTCAAGATGTGAGTTCATGTAATATTCAATCGATGCCACAATAATGCTTTAACAACTTCTTAGTTAATTAGATATAATTTCGATAAGTATGCAACTACCAGTAGACTGAAATAAAAAAGGTAAAATAAGAACTTATTTGGGTAACGTCCATTAATTCGAAAGGCCGTGTAACGTTGAATGTATATTATTATTATTATTATTATTATTATTATTATTATTGTTTGGGAAAATTAAATGGCGGGAGTGAATAATATTGTTGGAATTTATTTCAAAAGGAAGACAATAAATTATAGAGTTTATAAAAATTGTATAGACTGCGTCAGGTTTGATTTATTAAATTTCACACCCACCAAAACCCCCCACAAAAGCCAAAAGCGAGCCGCTTGGTTCGTTTTTTCGCACCGTATTCGTGGCTCAGCTTTAAAAAAGAAAGAAAATAAAGAAGTGAGTCCAAATCCGTCATTCACGGCGACACTCCCCAATCACACCCCCACCCACCTCTATTTTCAACCTATTTTCTTAATTAAAAAAAAAAAAAGAAAAAAAAAAAGAAGTGCAATTCTGTGTGGGTGTTCGCATCTTCCCTACTGGCCATAATGGACCACCGGCGTAGCTGTCCGACGGCCCCATTGAATTCATCACTCCCCTACCCATCTTCTTACAACCTCATGAGACCGACTGGATTTGGATTTTCTTTTCCCAGATTTAAATTTGAAAATGGGGGTTTCGTCACTTAGCGACAATGATTCACAACACTCCCATCTGTCGTTGTTGTTACCATTCCTCGAGTATATATCAACCGGCAGGTCCTTGATAAGGGCCAAAATGGAGTCACGGATATCCTCGCCTTATCTACTCATTTATTTATGGTACACTTTTAATGTTTGTTTGGTAACAGGATAAGCTCATTGCTAGCAAATATTATCAATCTCACGTTTAGAGATTTCCACTTCCACATACATTGCATACGATATATTTATATTTATAAGTAATAAGTGCACATTAAAGATACATGCTTTAATCTATGGTGGAGTGGTGAGATTCATGGTTTTTTGAACAGAGCACAATTAAATATGAAGTAAATAAAGCAAAATAAAGATATTTTCACTTAATTAAGGAGTGGGTAGAAATTTATGGCACGAAATCATCGAGTTCCTCCTGGAATTCTGCCTCATCGTTCTGATTCTGATACCTTCCCATGGAATTACCGTACTCGTATGTGTTCCCGTTGTTGTTGTTACGGAAATAGCCCCGGGACCTGCTGTAATGGTGAGGCTCCCTGTCGAGGTCATAATAGTACTTTCCATTCTCCATGAATCTCGTGTCGCTCATCCCTTGTCGTACCACGTTGTTGGCATTGTTGTTGTTGTTGTAGTAGAAGTTGTTGTTGTCGTCGTCGTGGTCGTCGTTGTGGTATTTTTCCTGGTTGTATAAAGGAGTTGTAGTGTAATCATTTCGCGAAAAGCGGGTGTTGCGGAAGCTTTGTCGTCCGTTGTCGTAAAGATCCTTGTTGTAATAAAACGAATTCTCGTACGGCTTCGTGTTGCTGTTTTGGAAATTGTCGTTGTCGTCGTACTCCTCTGACTCGGATTTGTAAGGAACGGCGTCGTTTCTTCTGTACTTATTGTCATCGGGGCGGTCACCGGAGAAATTGTCGTCGGAATTTGGAGGGAGCTGGCCGGATTCATGGCCGTAGAGGCCGTAGTTGTTGTCTTGGGTTTGAGGGAGGAAGTTGGGGTCTTGGTCTTGGTCTTGTGGGGTGCCGCTAGTTTTTTGTGGGCTTGTCAAAGGATCCTCCGCCTTGTTGGGGATTTGGGTTTCTTTGGTGTAGAAGGTGCCGCCATTGTTGGGTACTTTGCTGAAGAAATGGCTTTCCCTTGCATGAACTTGGAAGAACAGAAGAGCGAGAAGGAGGGCGGAAATGAGTTTCGCCATCGCCATGGATTGATTGAAAGGAGGTGTTCGTGTTGTGTTGTGTTGTGGAACTGTGTTGTATAGTGAAGGAGAGGTGGATGGGTCGCGTTTTGTTCTTATAGGCCTTCTCTCTTCTTTACTCATTAGATTGCAAGTGGGTTGGATCGAATTTTGATATTGGTGGAGCCTACGCTTTTATGAGAACTTGAAAAAGTCGCTGTTTTAGTTACCATTTTCATGATGTTTCTAATTACGTGTCATTTGTAAATGGTTAATAATTATATTGGTAAATAAGTTGGGATGAGATTAAATATCCATAAATGACGAATGGGATAGAAAAAGGAAATTTGTGGACATGAAGGAGTAGGACAATCATGTGGGGATTGTGGGAGTGGTTGGGACAAAAACTAAATAATGGCATTTAGTGCAACCATCATGTGCCCTTCCATTTCTTCCCTTGGGAAGAACGTAAGATGCCTATGTCACAATCCCACATTTTGTTATTAGTGTGCATCACTCGAGTAAATCAAATCAATTTACATTCGTATTGCCTATATCCGAACAACGTATCTTCAAGCTTATGACCTTGTTTTGAGAAGTAGATTTTAAAGAACGGGAACAGTCAGATTTTTTAAAACAAGTTTAAAAGCAAGACTCACAAAAGGGTTTGAATGCAATATTATAGACTATAAGCAAAATGTCATGATCATACTTGTCTAGAATGACTATATACCTATACCACCCTGTCTATCTTTATCAAACACAGATTGTACGAGTGTCTGTCTTCTAGAATTAAATATTGCAAAAAAAAAAAAAAAAAAGGAATAT